TTATGTGTGCTGTATCTAGGAAACACATCTCACATGCAAAGATACATAAAGGCTCAACATAAAGGGATGAAGGAAGATTTACCAAGCAAATGGAGAGTAAAAAACAATGCAACAAGAAGAGCTAATGATCCTAAATATATATGCACCCAGTACAGGAGCACCCAGATACATAAAGCAAGTTCTTAATGACTTACACAGAGACTTAGACTCCCCTACAATAATAGTGGGAGAATGTTAACACTCCACTGTCAATATTAGACAGATCAACCAGACAGAAAATTAACAAGGATATCCAGGACTTGAACTCAGACCTGGACCAAGCAAACCTAATAGACATTTACAGAACTCTCCATCCCAAATCTGCAGAATATACATTCTTCTCAGCACCACATCACACCTACTCAAATTGACCACAGAATTGGAAGTAAATCACTCCTCAGCAAATGCAGAAGAATGGAAATCATAACAAATAGTCGCTCAGACCACAGTATAATCAATTAGAACTCAGTATTCAGAAAGTAACTCAGAAATGCACACCTTCATGAAAACTGAACAACTGGCTCTTGAATGTTGACTGAAAGAACAATGAAATGAAGGCAGAAATTAAGATGTTCTTTTAAATCAACAAGAACGAAGACACAATGTACCAGATCTGTGGGACACATTTAAAGCAGTGTCTAGAGGAAAATATATAGCAACAAATGCCCATATAAGAAGCAAGGAAAGATCTAAAATCTACACCCTATCATCAAAATTGAAAGAGCCAGAGGAGCAAGATCAAAAAAACTCAAAAGCTAGCAGAAGACAAGAAATAACTAAGATCAGAGCAGAACTGAAGAAGATAGAGACACAAAAAAACCTACAAAAAAATCAGTAAATCTAGGAGCTTGTTTTTAAAAAGATCAACAAAATAGACCACTATCCAGATTAGTAAAAAAGAAAGAGAGAAGAATCAAATAGATGCAATAAAAAAAATGATAAAAGAGATATCACCACAGATTCCACAGAAATACAAACCACCACCAGAGATTAAACAAACAGCTCTATGCACATAAACCAGTAAACCTGGAAAAAATGGATAAACTCCTGGACACTTGCTTCCTCCCAAGCCTAAAACAGGAAGAAGTCGAAACCCTGAATAGACCAATAACAAGGGCTAAAGTTGAGGCAGCAATTCATAGCCTACCAACCAAAAAAAGCCCAGGTCCAGATGGGTTTACAGCCAAATTCTCCCAGACATACAAAGAGGAACTGGTACCATTCCTTCTGAAACTATTCCAAACAATCCAAAAAAAGGGAATCCTTCCCAAATCATTTTATAAGACCAACATCATCCTGATACCAAAACCTAGCAGAGACTCAATAAGAAAAGAAAACTTCAGGCCAATATCCATGATGAATATAGATGCAAAAATCTTCAATAAAATACTGGCAAACCGATTGCATCAGTACATCAAAAAGCTTATCCACCATGATCAAGTAGGATTCATCCCCGGGATGCAAGGCTGGTTCAACATACGCAAGTTTATAAACGTAATTGACCACATAAACAGAACCGAAGACAAAAACCACATGATTATCTCAATAGACACAGAGAAGGTCTTTGACAAAATTCAACAGCCCTTTATGCTAAAAAACCTCAATAAACTAGGTATTGATGGAATGTATCTCAAAATAATAAAAGCTATTTACGACAAACCCACAGCCTATAATCATACTGAATGGGCAAAAACTGGAAGTATTCCCTTTGAAGTCTGGCTTCAGATGCCCTCTCTCACCACTCCTATTCAATATAGTATTGGAAGTTCTAGCCAGAGCAATTCAGGTAAGAAAAAGAAAGAAAGGGTATTTGATTAGGAAAGGAGGAAGTCAAATTGTCTCTATTTGCAGAGGACTGTGATTGTGTATTTAGAAGATCCCATTGTCTCAGCCCAAAATCTCCTGAACCTGATAAGCAACTTCAGCAAAGTCTCAGGATACAAAATCAATGTATTAAAATCACAAGCATTCCTATATACCAATAACAGATCTAAAGAGAGCCAAATCAAGAATGAACTGCCATTCACAATTGCTACAAAGAGAATAAAATACCTAAGAAAGCAACTAACAAAGAATATAAAGGATCTCTTCAAGGAGAACTACATACCACTGCTCAATGAATTAAAAAAGGAAACAAACAGATGGAGAAACATTCCATGCTCATGGTTAGGAAGAATCAATATTGTGGAAATGGCCATACTGCCCAAAGTAATTTATAGATTCAATGCTATCCCCATCAATCTACAAATGACCTTCTTCACAGAACTGGAAAAAACCACCTTAAACTTTATATGGAACCAAAAGGGAGTCTACATAGCCAAGTCAATTCTAAGCAAAAAGAATGAAGCTGGAGGCATCACACTACCTGACTTCAAACTATACTACAAGGCTACAGTAATCAGAAAATAGACAAATGGGACCTAATTAAACTCCAGAGCTTCTGCACAGGTAAAGAAACATTCATTAGAGTGAATTGGCAACCAACAGAATGGGAAAAAATTTTTGCAATTGGCCGGGCGCGGTGGCTCAAGCCTGTAATCCCAGCACTTTGGGAGGCTGAAGCGGGTGGACAAGGTCGACAGAGAGAGACCAACCTGGTCAACATGGTGAAACCCCGTCTCTACTAAAAATACAAAAAATTGGCTGGGCATAGTGGCGCGTGCCTATAATCCCAGCTACTCAGGAGGCTGAGGCAGGAGAATTGCCTGAACCCAGGAGGCGGAGGTTGCAGTGAGCCGAGATCGCACCATTGTACTCCAGCCTGGGTAACAAGAGCAAAACTCCGTCTCAAAAAAAAAAAAATAATTAATTAATTAATTAAAATTTTTGCAATCTACCCATCTGACAAAGGGCTAATATCCAGAATCTACAGAGAACTAAAACAAATTTACAAGAAAAAAAACAAACAAACAAGGCCATTCAAAAGTGGGTGAAGGATATGAACAGACGCTTTATGAAAGAAGACATATATGAGGCCAACAAACACATGAAAAAAACCTCATCATCACTGCTTATTAGAGAAATGCAAATCAAAACTACACTGAGATACCATCTCACGCCAGTTAGAATGGCAATCATTAAAAATTCTGGAGACAACAGATGCTGGAGAGGATGTGGAGAAATAGGAACACTTTTACACTGTTGGTGGGAGTAAATTAGTTCAACCATTGTGGAAGACAGTGTGGCGATTCCTCAAGGACCTAGAAATAGAAATTCCATTTGACCCAGCAATCCCATTACTGGGTATATATCCAAAGGATTATAAATTTTTCTATTATAAGGACACATGCACACAAATGTTCAGCACTGTTTACAATAGCAAAGACTTGGAACCAACCCAAATGCCCATCGATGATAGACTGGACAGGGAAAATGTGGCACATATATACCATGGAATACTATGCAGTCATAAAAAAAGAGTTCATGTCCTTTTTAGGGACTTGGATGAACCTGGAAACCATCATTCTCAGCCAACTGACACAAAAACAGAAAATCAAGCCCCACATGTTCTCACTCATAGGCAGGTGTTGAACAATGAGAACACATGGACACAGGGAGGAGAGCATCACACACTGGGGTCTATGTGGGGGAACTAAGGGAGGGACAGTGGGGCCTGAGGAGTTGGGGAGGGATAACACAGGGAGAAATGCCAGATATAGGTGATGGGGAGGAAGGCAGCAAACCACACTGCTATGTGTGTACCTATGCAACAATCTTACATGTTCTTCACATGTACCCCAAAACCTAAAATGCAATTTAAAAAAATAGTAAAAATAATAATAATAATGCTTTGTGAGAGTTGTATACTAGACTTGCTCTTACCAGCTCATGAGAGCTCATCATTCAATTTCAATTCAATTCAATCAGGAGTTTATGACCTGATTGATGTTCTGTTGGTGGAAGTGATTACACAACAGAAATGGGCAAATATTATTAATTAGGGCTTCCTCCCACCTCAACACATAAGTTACTTGTTAAATATTTACCATAAACCACTGATACTATTAACTCTGTCTTGGAGTAAAGAAACGGATACTTGAGGTGAGGTTGGAATTAAAAACCTGCTGAGGTCCACACAGTAAATGGTAGCTAAGCTAAGAATTTCAGCACCTAGATATGTGTGCAAGGTTAGCCACCACATTGATCTGGTATATGGTGATTACACTGATCTTGATTATTTGGGCATGTAGAAATAGATTAAAAAGAAGAGAGAGGTCATGCAATATTGGATAATTTTGGTTTTTAAAGGCAGTTTAAGGATTAGATTTTAAATACCTGGACTGAGTGTTATTTAAGTAGACACATAATAATTACCTTGCCACTCCTTGTTTTATGCTTGGGATTTACGTTAAAAAAAAAAAAAAAAAAAAAAAAAAAAAACCTGATGATAAAAGCATCAGATGCTCTGTGCTCTGTGATATCTGCATAGAAAATTTCTTATAGAGATCCTTGTAATTATCTTGCCCAGACACATTGTAGAAGGAGAATTATGCCCAGTATTTTCTGCTAAGCAGAGTTTGGGGGCACTGTTTAGAGTACTTTACCTAACAATTAAAATGTTTCGACTTACAGCATTACTAAATGAGGCCTCATAAAGTTATAGAAGGCAATAGGACCAATCATAAAAGAATTCTACTTCTCTTGAGTGCAATAAATAATTAAAACATTATTGAGTGTACATTTTGTATCTGGTAATATTTTAAATGATTGATATTTTAATCACTTTGATCTTTGTAATAAACTTATTTTTAGAGTATAAAAGAACTTAGTTAGGAATTCCTAAGCTAGAATGGGGAGAAGGAAAGTTGCCAGTTGTTCCTCCTCTCCTCAATCTTGCCATAATAGCTAAATCACTCCTACATCCCAAGTGGAGTTAAGCTATCTCACTACAAAAAATATAATTTGAATATACAGCAACAGTTTTATACAATATTCAAATAAAAAAATACAGCTTTCTTTACTTGAGATTTTTCTCTGTCAGATGCAAAATAAAGATCAGAGTAGGCAAGCAGAAGGGCCATGCTTATATTAGGCGTCCCTTTCATTTCACTCCAGACCATGATGAATACCCAGCGCCAGCTGAACTCATGACCAACCCGAGAAAAAACAGGGCTCATTAACAGAAGGATCACAAGTCTATAAGACAAAACAATTTTTAGAATGTTATACTTTCATAGGAATTTCTTTCCATTTCACTCTATTCTAATCCACTCCCTGTAAAATTTCTAACTCTCAAGCAAATGAGACATCTTTCACACACTGTTGACATGGCACCAAAGAAAGGCAGCAGGTATTCCATAGAGAGACATGCCAAGAGAATGGCATTATTCTTTGCTTCTTTCTACTAGGTGAGTAGCAGAGTAACTCTACATCATCTTTGAGCAGTGCTCCTTCGGGAGGAAAAAAAAAAGTTCGAGATGTGTTGTGCATGAATTCTGAATCCCCTCCCCAAATAAAAATGAATCTAATAAATAAGAAATGAGAAAATCTTCTCTGTTTCTTTTTCTTTATAGATTTTAATCTTGATGAATTGGTCCAATATTGGCCAGGTCTTTTAAAATTGTTTTTTCCTTCACCTTCCTATGTTCCTATGTTTTATACTAATTTTATCTGATAATTTGGGAAATAATTTCCTTTTACTTGACACTAGCTGCCTTGCCTTCAAGAATTCAACTAGATGGAAGTAGAATGTCAACCATTTGACTGATGGAGATTAAAGAACTATGAGACTCTAGTTATGGTGGTTTTTCCCACTCTATGCTATCTCTCCTTTTCAGGTACATGGACAGACTTTTTCTACCTCTTAACAGTGGAAAAATAAACTACAAAAGTTACTTGAGAAAAAAAAGATTTTTGCAAAGCGGGCTTCCCTATGATTTTTAAAAAGCAATTTCTAACTATAATTTTTAATAGAAAATTATATAATATTGAACAAAAACAGTATTTTTATTTATAATAGTTACTTAACCATGAAATGCCATACAAAAACACTGGACAAAATAGTAAAATGTTAATTGTGTTTTTTTCTAATTAAAAAATATACAGCGTTTGCATTGCTTTGAAATTTAGTTAAAAGCCAAAAAAAAAAAAAAAAAATACTAAGCATTTATTTTCTGATGACCCTTGGAAAATTTCAGTCAATTTTTCAATCTAAAAGATGATCTTCAAACTTAATTATCTATAAATGAAAAAATGTTAGTGGTGTTCTTACCTTAAAACAATCAGTGTGAAGTAGATATTTAATGTATAGTATATATCAGAAAATTTTATATACAAATATACATGTGCAGGAATTAGAAGTCCAGAGAAAGTAAACACCATAAGAAAAGCAACAAATGACAGACAATTCCAGAATCTGCATTTTTCAGAAAAAATAAAAATATTTATAATTAGACATACTTATTACAAGGCTTATCTATGTGAATCATTGTGCTAATCATTTTCAAAAAATGAATAAAACATTTACAAACAACTTTGACTTATAGCTGAAAAAGATGAAAAGTTATTAAATGATTTTATACAAAAGAAATGACCTGGGTAAAGAGGAACTGCAAATATGAGATGGGTGAGGGTCAGTAAAAGATCATAGAATTAATGAATTTTAGTCTCCGTGGCTGAAGAATTGTTAGAATTTAGGCACTAGAGGGCATACAGTGAAAAGATAGGAAATAGTACACCTTCTCTATTAAAGAGTTAACATGGACCTGTTAGTGGTTGTTTTGAGATGTTAGGATTTAACATTATTATCTTAGATTTCCACTTTCTTCAAGAGTAGAAGTTGGTATATACCATACTTTAGTAAGATTCTTGCAATTGAGTTTATTTGTACAAGTAGTTATTTGTACAACTATAGGAGTGGGTGGCTGAAGAGGGGTGGTGGACATACTTAAACAAGGAGAGAAGATCCAGGAATTCAAAGATGAGGGAGTAGAAGGATTAACTGTATGAATATTGACATCACAAAGAATGGTGATAGAGTAATATTGGAGAGTAAGACAGGAACTAAAATCTTCACAAAATGGAGTGTGACTTAGAGTTCTATAAATAACCACAACCAACAGGTAGATGATATATTCTGACGGCACGAGCTTCAAAATCGGATTCTCCTAAGAAGGTAGGAACTAGAATGATTTAGAAATCACTCTGAGGTTCAGAGAGATCACCTACTTCAATTGTAGTTTCTGTACTAGGAATGCAAGTGAGAGAGACATCACAACTTATAAGGAATGAAGAATGAAGAGAAGTAATATATTTGAAGATCCAGCTTACAGTTGGAGCAAGAAGATGAGGAAAGCCTTCAGAATCACTGCCCATATATATAATTAATACATTTTAAATTCTTCCCACAACTGTGGTCCATTTAATCTTGCCTAAGTACAAGTACAATTGACTTCCATTGTAATTGGCATGGAATTTCACAGAAGTGCTCCAGAATCCTACAAGACCCTTTATCTTTTAAGCTTATTACTTCAGAATTAATTCTATCTTCTATAACGTTGTCCCATAACTCCAAAAACCATGGTTTACTTTTAGAATGTTTGTTAACACATATTTTGTCATTATCTGGTTCAGGTCCAGTTCCCACCCTAGGTACTGAAGCATTACGGAGTGCTCTTCCTCTAGGCTGATAACTACTCACCCCTCAGCTGAGTTCCCTTGAGCAAGGCACAATTTGCACTTTTCCACCCATAGTCTTGCTTACATTTAGATTGGCCATATTTTCTTTTAGAACACTGCTAATCCTCTTCAAATGCCCTGGCTAACTCTTTGGATTTGCTTTACACAGCATCTTATTGTCCTTAAAATACTTAAGTTTTTTCTTTTTTCTTTTTTTTTTTTTTTTGCATTAAGTTCAGCTGAATTAAACGTAATTTTAAAATATTGCATTAAAATATTAAAATATTATTCCTCAATTACTGTACTTTTGACACCCTCTTACTAGTGGGTACAAGATTTTATATAGGAAATTATTGAGCAGATAATCAGAGACTTAAGGAATTAGCAGGGAAACAGAATCAGCATGCACTCAAGGTAAGGTTATGGATTTGCTTTCAACTGGAAGATTCAAAGGAACTGGTGAGAAAAAATAAAATCTAGGAAAGGTTTTTAGTTGGGTAGTTTTTAAGTCTTTGAAAATCTTACTTTGACCATGTAGATGTAGATATGGTTACTATTATAATATTATTGCTTCCAGTGTATGAAATAAAATGAAAAAGTACTAGCCACTTACTCAAGAAGAAATGCTTCAGCTCCTGCTTTAAAACTTGTAGAATTTAGAAGAAGTCCCACAATGGCCAGAGTAAATATTCCTGACATTCCAACTAACTCACCTATTTTTTTAAAAAGAAATAAAGTATTAATTTAACATCAACAGCAGCACAAATTTTACCAGAGTTACAAGTATCAGATGTTGTGACAGTACCATGACTTTAGAGAGAGGCAACTTCACTTGATTTCAGCTGAAAAATATTGCAAATTATTACCACCACTCCATGTCCTTTTTCTTCCTCCAACTTATACCCAATTGTATTATAAAGTCTACAATGGACACCTTTGCACTGCTTCACATACCTCACTGAAGTTAGAGCACCCTTTAGAGGTCTGATTGTTTCAGATGGGTTCTGGAGGATTGAAGTAAAAATCAGCTGATGATATCTTTATGAACTTGCCTACAACTTACGTCTCTTTCTTAGCAGACGTAGTTCTAGCTATTAAGTAAATATTGAAATATTTGTTCTTAATACTAAAGAATATTGTAGATATGCTACTTTTATCATGAAATTGTCATCCATACTTTGACTAACTGTGTTTCTTTGACTTACTTTGTATTTCTAAGTTAACAATAGTTTTATTTTAATTACTATAGGCCCATTAAATGTTTTAATACCTTTCTGGTAGGGAAAGTTCTCTACTTTAAAAAAAAATTGTCTTCTCTATTTTCACACATTAATTTTTCTAGATGAACTTTTGAAACTGTTTTCGTGAAATTGTAGATGGGCACAGTGGCTCATACCTATAATTCCAGCACTTTGGACAGTAGGTGGGACCATTGCTTGAGCCCAGGAGTTCAAGACTGGCTTAGGCAACTTAGTGTGACCCTGTGTCTACAAAATATTTAAAATATTGGCTGGGTTTGGTAGCACTTGCCTATAGTACCAGCTACTCTGGAGGCTGAGGTGGGAGAATTGCTTAAACCTGGTAGGTTGAGGCTGCAGTAAGCCATGATCATACCATGGTATTCCAGAGCCTGGGCAATGGAGCAAGAGTCTGTTTCTGAGAGAGAAAAAGAGAGAGAGAGGAGAGAGGAAAGAGGAAGAGAGAAAGAAATTTTAAAACCCCCCAAAATTATATGATTATTTGATTTGGACTGTAATACATTTTAATTTAGTGAAATTAATACTATTATTATATTTTTGAGTTTTCCCTTCTAGAGGTGGAAAATTACAAGTTTTCTATTTTTTATTATAGTCCTGGCTAAAAATGGTAACAAAAGCAGAATCATTATTGAATCATGAACAAAGAAGAAATCATAGACATAGATTCTTTGAAATGATCAAGCCCCGGATGAGGTATTATATCTTGTTAGGTGATGGTGAAATATTTACAATGAGTATCTTGAAGATACTAATTATACAAACATGAAGCCAGGTCACAGGAAAATCTTTTTACATTAAATTTATATTTATTCTTTATCTTGATTTCATGGAATTATGTCCTGGCAGGTTTCTTCCTAAAATGTTTATTGAGACATCTTGACTCTAAAAGTTTAAAATTATTTCCTTGGGTGTAATCTTTAATTGTGAAACTAGGGTTACTTATTAAAAACAATGTTAGAGTAATGACTTACAAAGAGACTTAGACTCCCACACAATAATAGTGGGAGACTTTAATACCCCTTTGTCAATATTAGACATATCAACGAAACAGAAAAAAAAAACAATGTTAGAGGAAATTATATTTGTTGGAATTATTTAGGAATTTAAGTATACACATGAATACTAGTATATGAGGAACCTACCTGAATTAACTGATCATTCTCTCACTGCCTGTTAATTCATTAGCTTGATTCTGTAACCCTCAGTATATTATAATTGGATTTAATCAACTGATTAATTCATTAGGAACCCTCGAGATCCTCTGTTCTGCCTTTTCCTCCTCAGAGGGAAAATAATACATTCCCATTACTCTAGCATTTCTGAAGAGAAGTTTTTCTGTGCTTCAATTTATTCAAATTATGTATTTCTTAGTGACTTTTATAATTTTCTGTGTATAGTTCAAAACTACTTGTTAAATTTATTGATATTTTATAACTTTATATCAATATAAAAAAATCAAATTTTCCTATTTTCTAGCTAGTTACTGCTGGCTGATAAAGATACCATCAATGGTTTTGGATAACTTTATCTCATATTAAACTATTAAAGGGTCTTGCTGACTTTGTTTACCAATTAATTTTGTTGAATTTTCTATACGATATAAAATACTGTGATTAATGGTGAGAAGGGAGATGCCCCTGCCTCCTTCTACTTCCCGTCTCCACCTCCTCCCACTCCTCCCCTCTGGATGAGAAGGGTGAAAAAAAAAAGAAGTAAAATACCAAAGAGCTTGAATCTGTGGTCAGGTGACTTGCTGATGCCACTGATCAGGCCATAAAGAGGCCCAAGGACTGAGAAGATGACTCCCTTTTTGGTTCCTAGTGTCTCTACTATCTATAAGCCTTGAAAGAGTTGCAAATGAATGTTATCACTACTGGCCAGACACTGGGTCACGTCCCCCACATTTGTACGACCCAGACTCCCTCCTGGAAACACCTCTGCTGACTAATAATTTACTGCCTTTGTCTTGTCTCTGTAAGCCCCTCCCCTGTCCTGCCCCTGCTCTTGCTGCATATGAACTAGCAAATCAATGAAGCCAAAAGATTGTAAGGTCAAAGTCCAGCCAATGGACAATGGCACAGTTTTGCCTCAGTTTTCCCTTTAGTGTTGTAAGCCTATAAAAGAGGAAAGAAGCTGCTTCTAGGGGAGCTCGGTGAGTAAGGCTTTAGGTCCCACAGCTCCTGGCTGAATAAAAAGCCATTTCCTTCCTCAGTTCGGTGTTCAAGAGGTTTGTTTCCAGCCACTTTTGCTTTAATGTAACCATTTTTTTTTCTTTTAAAATATGTATAAATTTCCCTCCTTACTGCATTAGCTAGAGCTTTCATAATTATTTTTATCATGAATGTGAGAATATGCACCATTGTCTTATCCCTAAATTTAACAGAAAGACATAGTACAGGTGTGGTAAGTAGGTATTATCTGGTATGTCAACTCCAAATCATATGAAGGGCTGTCAGAAGAGCTTAATTAAATGTGATTCTGAGGCTGTGTCAGGAAACAGTGGTATGGTTAATTATTAATATCTACCATACTCCTGTGAGGAGGTGATTGTGGGACATGGATTAATAATAATGACAGATTTTCTAACATTTAGCTTTACTTGATATGTAACTTTTATTTTGATTGCCTTTTTGATCCAAGAATTACCAAGACAAAATATCTAATTTACAGGTTGAAACTGCCCACCTCTGCCTTTTTGTTAGACAGATGGCTTCTCTCTTTGTTGCCCAGGCTGGATTGTGATCATAGGTCACTGCAACTTCAAATTCCTGGGCTCAAGTAATCCTCCCACCTCACCCTCCTGAGTAGCTGGGACTATGGACATGTACCACCACATATAGCTAGTTTTAAAATTTTTTGTAGAGATGGGGGTCTCACTATCTTGCCCAGACTCGTGAAATCTTGGGCTCAAGTGATCTTCCTGCCTCAGCCTCCCAAGGTGCTAGGATTACAGGCATGAGCCATGCCACCTGGCAAGAGCCCTCTTTTTGTAGTTCATATTTAATTTAATTGTATCATAGTTGAACAATGTTTGAAATCTTATTGAAATGTTCTTCAACTTAATTTCTACAAATTGTCTAGAGGTATATGTAAAGGATACACATTCTGTTTTGAGGGGTAAAACTCTATATGTCTTATAACCCAAACTTATAAGATATTTAAATATTTTTATAGCCATAATTTTTTGTTCAATTAGTCATGAAATTCTCTGGGAAAGGCACAGTAAATTACCTTTCTGTAATGACAGTGTTGTCAAATCCTTTCTTTTATAATGGTATTTGCTAATACTGGTACATTATTTTCTGTTGTATATTCATATTTTTCTCTGGATAGATTTTAATAAAAATATTCTTTACAGATCAATTGAATATTTTTACTAACTTTTGCCTGGTATGTATATTCACATATATTTATTTTAAAGTTTTCTATGTCATTTTACTTTAGGCATAGGCCCCTCACTTACAAATATAAAAGATGAGATACAGAGTTGAAAAGATGAGACTCATATGACTGATATCATCACCAAAAACAGTTGACATCCACCATTGAATCAGCTTTGAACTTAGAATTCCGAACCAGAAACTTGCTATAATATATGAACAAACTGCACTCACAATGCTTTGAGCTACAAGAAAGAGGAGTAAATAAGAAATAGTTAATAGAATATGCCCTTAATTTTAATTGATATTCTGGGTTAATTTTTCTTTTGGTCATTATCTTTAATTGCCACAATGAACATGAGAGTGCAGATATCCCAGGGGCGACATATTGATTTCAATTCCTTTGGATATATACCCAAAAGTGGGATTATTAGATCATACAGTAGAGTTCTACTTTTAGGTTTTTGAGTAACTTCCACATTGTTTTCCATAATAGCTGGCACTCTGCAATTCCTCTGCTTACAAGCAGTATTCTTTGCCACTGTAGATGGCTAGTAACTCACACTTCCTCCCTTACTGACAGCTTTCTACGTTGCCTGCATGAGATGATACAGTCCCAGAGCAAAGGGAAGAGAAGATGCCTCCTCTCACTACTAGTAGATGCACTACTTGGCTTATCTTCTAAGCTCATCTTCATCACATAAGAAATTTCTCATCCTGGTTGTCTGGCATTCTGGTTCAGCCAGAATTCCAGGAATGTGGAATGGTGCTCCCATAAGCAACTTCATGAAGAGTCTCAACCCAGCCTCACAACAAATATGTAACTAACATTAAATAAGTAATGTGTAATAGTGCTTTGTAAAGAGTAAGTCATTAAACCAATACTCACCATTATATTCCTACAAATATAACTTATGGTAGGATATTACAAAATACATGCCAGCTTTCAGAAAATACAGGATTCTGATGTTAAAAAATTTAGCTAAAAAAAAAAAGATCCTTACCTAAGGTTTGGTTCCTTTCACTGTATAGTCCTTTATTAAAATCCATAATGCTAGTAAATGTAATTGATGATAGAACAGAGGTCATCAGACTTTCTCCATTAATTAAATTGGTGAGGCTTCTAGAAAGCCCTATGTATGTTGAGGGGGGAAAGATGTTTTTTAAAGTGAGAAAAACATTAAATATTACATATTAAAGAATAAAATTTTCTTAGCAACTTTAAGTATGGTCCTATGGATTTACTGTAAGTTTAGACCATTATAATTGGCACTACATTAATTATGGCCCATTATGTTTATGTAAGTGAGATAAAGTTCTCATTCCTTGCTTCAAAGCACAAAGGAAAACATGAAATTTCTTTTTTTTTTTTTAAATTCAGTGAGTTTTTCTGTATAAATACTGCATAATAAATCAGATATATTTAAGGCAAGACAAAAAGCGATTGAGGGATAAAGTAAATTTACAAACCAAAGCTTTATAACATTACAACCAAACAAAGTATTAAGGCAATTGTTCACATAATCTAGCTAGACTTAGAAATTATCGGACTTTCTCATTCATTCTGTCCAATGGCTTTAGAAATCAATCACCATGAATGGAGAGTTTCTGACATTACTCACTTCCATTCAAATTTTCCTCTATTTATAATATTCTAAGTTTAAGTATCTATCAGTTGTCCTTTTCCTCTGCCATTAAATGTGCATGTAGTGATAAAACTACAACTTTGAGCATCTATAGTGATTTTCTAAAAGCCATAGGAGGAAATGTTATCATAGATTAAAATGCTTTGTGTGAATCAAGCACTCTATAACTGTAATCACAACCTAACTACAATTAGTATGCCAACAGAAGAGAAGAAACACCAAGGCTGTTCCTGTGTGGCTCAATTGCCTGGGTCATCCCATTCTTCACCTCTTCCTGTATTTACGCCCTGTGCTGTAAAATTCACCAAAAAGATCCACTTTGTTTTGTTATGAAATTTGATGAGAGCAGAAAGATTTCTGCCTCTTCCCTGACTCCTGTCATCACCATGACAGCACTCCTCTGTAGGAATGTAAGAGATACATGAAGGAAAGGTACATCTTCCAAACTAAGGCCATTCTGGATCACTTAGTCCCCAGATGTCCACCAGCTGATTACAGATTCACTAGTGAATCTAGCAACATCAGCAGAACCCAGCCCATATCATCAGAACTGCTGGATTCATGAGAAATAATAAATAATTGTTGTTTTAAGCCACCACATTTGGAGTTATTACTCAGCAAAACCTAACTGATATTGTATAATTATTTCATTTTAGAAAATAGAATTATGGCAAAATGTAAATATTCAGAAATACATGGCATAGGAGGAGTCAAAGGACCACAAAAAGCTCAAGACAATGTGAATGTACTTATGGATTCTACTGATAATCCCAAGAAAATTTTTATTGAAACAAACAAACAAACAAATATATATATATATATACACGTGCACGCACACACATTTCTAAATCTTATAAATAATGCTTTGTAAACTCAGGATCAATGCTGTCAAAAAGAAATTACTTTTTAAAAAGTCTTTTTGAAAGATACCAAGTGAGGAGAGAAACAAAATTCTCAAAGTAATGGCAAGATGGACAAATTTTATGAAAACACACTTGCAGAGGATTCAAGATGAACAATTAGGAGCAGCCCAGAATTGCAGCTCCCAGCAAAAGAATGGAGGGTGAGTGGATGCCGCATTTCCAGATGGACTTTTACTGCCCACAGACCAGGAGATTCCCAGGCAGAGGAGCACCATGGGTCACCAGCACGGCTATTTTGGCTGGCACGGTGGGTCTCTTCACAAAATACAAGGGTCCAGGCACCATTTTAGCCATTCAGCTGATAAAAAGGGGAATGAAACAGGGAGCCAGGCCAGGAGATTCCCGAGCAAAAAAGTGCCACGAATCTCCACGCGGCTGTTTCAGCCGGTGTAGTGGGTTGCGGCATGGGAATTAACACAGATCCTGGTGCCTTTTGAACAGGTAACTGGAACACTTGGGAGACAGAGTCACCCATTCAACTGATAAAAAGGGGACTGAAACAGGGAGGCAGGCCAGGAAAATCCCCGGTGAAAAAGCACGACGAGCCCCCAGTGCAGCTGTTTTAGCCAGCTCAGTGGGTCTCTGCACAAATATCACACAAATCCGGGCACCTTTTCAACTGGGGACTGGAACGCCTGGGAGACAGAGTTGCCCATTCAACTGAAAAAAAAGGGGACTGAAACAGGGAGCTAGACCAGGAAATTCCCCAGCAAAAAAGCGCCATGAGCCTCCACTGGCTGTTTCAACTGGTGCAGCAGGTCTATGCATAAGAAATCAAACAAATCCGGGTGCTATTTCAACTGGAGACTGGGACACCTGGGAGACAAGAGTCACCTATTCAACTGAATAAAAAGGGGGTCTGAGGCAGGGAGCCAGGTGATGAGGCTTGGCCAGTCCCACCCCCACAAAAAACAGCAATCTTAAATGCTCTGGATTGAGAGTTTCACAGCAAGCACAGCTGAACTTGGGATGGTCCAGCTTGTGGGAGAGGGGCATCCGCCATTACTGAGGCAGTCCACCACTACTGAGGTAGTCCTCCATTACACAGAGAGTCTGCCATTACAGAGGTGGGCCAACATTGCTGAGGCAGTTCTAACAATACCCCGATAAACAGGACTGCAGGGAAGTTTATAAGGCAGCTGGGCAAAGCCCACAGCAGCTGAGCAAAGCCTCTGCAGGCAGACTGTGACTAGGCTGCCTCCTCACAGGGCAGGGCAGCTCTGAAAAAAGGCAACAGCACAACAGAAACTTATAAATAAAGCCCTACCTCCCTGGAACAGAGCACCTGGGAGGGGGAAAAGTGTATGAGTTCTGCTGCAGCAGAATAAATGTACCTGCCCAGCAGCTCTGAATGGAACAACGAACTTCACAGCTTAGCACTTGAGCTCCTATAAAGGACAGACTGTCTCCTCAAGCAGCTCCCCAACCCCCATATATCCAAAGAGTTACCTCATAAAGGAGAGCTCAGACTGACATCTGACAGGTATCCTTCTGGAAAAAAGATAGCAGAGGAAGAAACTGGCAGTAACCCTTACTGTTCTGCGGTGACTGCAGGTGATAGCCAGGCAAGCAGGGCCTGGAGTGGACCTCAGCAGTCCTATAGCAGAGGGGCATGACTGTTAGAAGGAAAACTAGGAAAGAGAAAGAAATAACAGAACATCCACTCAGAGACCCCATCTGAAAGTCAACAACTACAAAGAACACAGGAAGATAAATCCACAAAGACGGGAAGAAACCAGTGCATAAAGAATGACAATACCCAAAACTGAAATGCCTCTCCTCCTCCAAGGGATCACAACTCCTCACCAGCAAGGGAACAAGGCTGGATGGAGAATGAGTCTGATGAATTGACAGAAACAGGCTTCATAAGTTGGGTAATAAGAAACTTCTAAGAGCTAAAAGAACATGTTCTAACCCAATGCAAAGAAACTAAGAACCTTGAAAAAAGGTTTGATGAAATGCTAACAAGAATAAACAGCTTGGAGAGGAATATCAGTGAATTGATGGAGCTGAAAAACACAGCACAAGAACTTCATGAAGCATATATAACAACCGAATTGACCAAGCAGAAGAAAGGATATCAGAGATTGAAGATCAACTCAATGAAATAAAATGAGAAGGTAATATTAGAGAAAAAAAGGGTAAAAAGAAATGAACAAAGTGTCCAAGAAATATGGGACTATGTGAAAAGACCGAATCTATGTTTGATAGGTGTACCTGAATGTGATGGAGAGAATGAATTCAAGCCGGAAAATACTCTTCAGGATATTATCCAGGGAAACTTTGCCAACCTACCAAGGCAGGCCAATAATCAAGTGCAGGAATACAGAGAACACCACAAAGATATTCCTCAAGGAGGGTAACCCCAAGGCACATAATCGTCAGATTCACCAGGGTTAAAATGAAGGAGAAAATGCTAAGGGCAGCCAGAGAGAAAGGTTGGGTTACCCACAAAGGGAAGCCCATCAGACTGACAGTGGATCACTCAGAAGAAACCCTACAAGCCAGAAGAGAGTGAGGGTCAATATTCAATATCCTTAAAACAAAGAACATTCAACCCAGAATTTTATATCCAGCCAAAGTAAACTTCATAAGTGAAGGAGAAATAAAATCCTTTGCAAACAAGAAATTACTCAGAGATTTCATCACCACCAGGCCTGCTTTACAAGAGCTCCTGAAAGAAGCACTAAACATAGAAAGGAACAACCAGTAACAGCCACTCCAAAAACATACCAAATGGTCAAGAGCATTGACACAATGAAGAAACTGCATCAACTAATGGGCAGAACAGCCAGCTAGCATCAAAATGGCAGGATCAAATTCACACATAACAATATGAACTCTAAAGGTAAGTGGGCTAAATGCTCCAATCAAAAGACACAGACTGGCAAATTGGACAAAAAACCAAAATTCATCAGTGTGCTGTATCCAGGAAACCCATCTTACATGCAAGGATACACAAAGGCTCAAAATAAAGGGATGGAGAAAGATTTACCAAACAAATTGAGAGCAAAAAGAAGCAGGAGTTGCAATTCTAGTCTCTGATAAAATAGACTTTAAATCAACAAATGATCAAAAGAGACAAAGAAGGACATTACATAATGGTAAAGGATCAATGAAACAAAAGGAGCTAAGGATCCTAAATATATATGCACCCAATACAGGAGCATCCAGATACATAAAGCAAGTTCTTAAGGATTTACAAGGAGACTTAGACTCCCATACAATAAGAGTGGGAGACTTTAACACCCCACTGTCAATACTAGACAGATCAATGAAAAAGAAAATTAACAAGGATAGCCAGCACTTGAACTCAGACCTGGACCAAGCATACCTAACAGACATTTACAAAACTCTCCACCCCAAATACACAGAATATGTATTTATCTCAGCACCACATCACACCTACTCTAAAACTAACCACATAATTGGAAGTAAATCACTCCTCAGCAAATGCAAAAGAACAGAAATCATAACAAACAGTCTCTAAGACCACAGTGCAATCAAGTTAGAACTTGGGATTCAGAAACTAACTCAGAACCACATGGCTTCATGGAAACTGAACAACTGGCTCTTGAATGTTGACTGAGAAAACAATAAAATGAAGGCAGAAATAAACATGTTCTTAGAAACCAATGAGAATGAAGACACAACATACCAGAATCTCTGGGACACATTTAAAGCAGTGTCTAGAGGAAAATTTATAGCAATAAATACCCACATGAGAAACAAGAAAAGATCTAAAATTGACACCCTATCATCAAAATTGAAAGAGCTGGAGGAGCAAGATCAAAAAAACTCAAAAGCTAGTAGAAGACAAGAAATAACTAAGATCAGAGCAGAAATCAAGGAGATAGAGACATAAAAAACTCTTCAAAAAATTAGTAAATCAAGGAGCTGGTTTTTCAAAATATCAACAAAATACACAGACCACTATCCAGATTAATAAAAAAGAAGAGAGAGAAAAATCAAACAGATGCAATAAAAAACGATAAAGGGGATATCACCACAGATTCCACAGAAATACAAAACATCATCAGAGATTATTACAAACAAGTCTATGCACATAAACTAGTAAATCTGGAAGAAATGGATAAACTCCCGGACACTTACATCCTCCCAAGCCTAAATCAGGAAGAAGTTGAAACCCTGAATAGACCAATAACAAGGGCTGAAGTTGAGGCAGCAATTCATAGCCTACCAACCAAAAAGAACCCAGGTCCAGAGGGGTTCACAGCCGAATTCTCCTAGACACAAAAAGAGGAGCTGGTACCATTCCTTCTGAAACTATTCCAAACAATCCAAAAAGAGAGACTCCTTCCCAAATCATTTTATGAGACCAACATCATCCTGATACCAAAACCGGGCAGAGACTCAACAAGAAAAGAAAACTTCAGGCCAATATCCATGATGAACATAGATGCAAAAATCTTCAATAAAATACTGGCAAACCGAGTGCATCAGTACATCAAAAAGCCTATCCACCATGATCAAGTAGTCTTCATCCCAGGGATGCAAGGCTGGTTCAACATACGCAAGTCTATAAACGTAATTCACCACATAAACAGAACCAAAGACCAAAACCACATGATTATCTCAATAGACACAGAGAAGGCCTTTGACAAAATTCAACAGCCTTTATGCTAAAAACCCTCAATGAACTATGTATTGATGGAATGTATCTCAAAATAATAAAAGCTATTTATGACAAACCCACAGCCAATAGCATACTGAGTGGGCAAAAACTGGAAACATTCCCTTTGAAATCTGGCACTAGACAAGGATGCCCTCTCTCACCACTCCTATTCAATATAGTATTAGAAGTTCTAGCCAGAGCAATCAGGCAAGAAAAAGACAGGAAGGGTATTCAATTAGGAAAGGAGAAAGTCAAATTGTCTCTATTTGCAGATGACATGATTGTATATTTAGAAGACCCCATTGTCTCAGCCCAAAATCTCCTGAACCTGATAAGCAACTTCAGCAAAGTCTCAGGATACAAAATCAATGTGCAAAAATCACAGGCATTCCTATATACCAATAACAGACTTAAAGAGAGCCAAATCAAGAATGAACTGCCATTCACAGTTGCTACAGAGAATAAAATACTTAGGAATACAACTAAGAATGTGAAAGACCTCTTCAAGGAGAACTACAAACCACTGCTCTATGAAATAAGAGACGACACTAACAGATCGAGAAATATTCCATGCTCATGGTTAGGACGAATCAACATTGTGAAAATGGTCATGCTGCCCAAAGTAATTTATAGATTCAACGCTATCCCCATCAAGCTACCAATGACCTTCTTCACAGAACTGGAAAAAAACACCTTAAACTTCATATGAAACCAAAAGACAGCCCCCATAGCTAAGTCAATTCTAAGCAAAAAGAACAAAGCTCGATGCATCATGCTACCTGACTTCAAACTATACTACAACACTACATTAATCAAAACCGCATGATATTGGTACCAAAACAGAGATACAGAACCATGAAACAGAACAGAGGCCTCAGAGCCAACACCACACATCTACAACCATCTGATCTTTCACAAACCTCACAAAAATAAGCAATGGGGAAAGGATTCCCTGTTTAGTAAATGGTGTTGGGAAAACTGGCTAGCCATGTGCAGAAAGCAGAAACAGGACCCCTTCCTGACACCTTACACTAAAATTAACTTCAGATGGAATAAAGACTTAAACATAAGACCAAACACCATAAAAACCCTAGAAGAAAATCTAGGCAAAACCATTCAGGACATAGGCATAGGCAAGGACTTCATGACCAAAACACCAAAAGCATTAGCAACAAAAGCCAAAATAGACAAATGAGACCTAATCAAACTCCACAGCTTCTGCACCACAAAAGAAACAGTCATTAGAGTGAATTGGCGACCAACAGAATGGGAAAAATTTTTGCAGTCTACCATCTGACAAAGGGCTAATATCCAGAATCTACAGAGAACTAAAACAGATTTACAAGAAAAAAACAAGCCTATTCAAAAGTGGGCGAAGGATATGGACAGATGCTTTATGAAAGAAGACATATATGAGGCCAAGAAACACATGAAAAAATGCTCATCATTATCGGCCATTAGAGAAATGCAATCAAGACTACACTGAGAGACCGTCTCACATCAGTTAGAATGGCGATCATTAAAAAATCTGGAAACAACAGATGCTGGAGAGGATGTGGAGAAATAGGAACACTTTTACACTGTTGGTGGGAGTCATTCAACCATTGTGGAAGACAGGGTGGCAATTCCTCAAGGACCTAGAAATAGAAATTCCATTTGATCCAGCAATCCCGTTACTGGGTATATATCCAAAGGATTATAAATCGTTCTACTATAAGGACACATGCACATGAATGTTCATTGCAGCACAGTTTACAATAGCAAAGACCTGGAACTAAGCCAAATGCCCATCAAAGATAGACTGGACAGGGAAAATGTGGCACATATACACCATGGAATACTATGCAGCCATAAAAAATGATGAGTTTGTGTCCTTTTTAAGAACATGGATGAACCTGGAAAACATGATTCTCTGCAAACTGACACAAGAACAGAAAATCAAACACTGTATGCTCTCACTCATAGACAGGTGTTGAACAATGAGAACACATGGACACAGGGAGGGGAGCATCACACACTGGGGTCTGTCAGGGGGAAACAGGAGAGGGAGAGGGGAGGGTGGGGGTTTGGGGAGGGATAACATGGGGAGAAATGCCAGATATAGGTGATGGGGAGGAAGGGAGCAAATCACACTGCCATGTGTGTACCTATATAACAATCTTTCATGTTCTTCACATGTATCCCAAAAAGAAAAATACAATTAAAAAAAAAGAAAATAGACTTGCAAGATACTCTGCATAAATTAAGTTCAACAATCCCAAGGTAGAAAATCAGTGGTATACTAGATTACAAGATAACAAAGTTAGACAAGTTAAAAACCTATGCTTTAGAACATAGGTATTTAAAACATCACTTTTCTTAACAATTTCCTCTTATTGGAGCTAAAATACTTTCTCATAGCACTCTTGTAAACAAGAGTGAAATCAGCTCTCAGGTATCATAAGAGTCTCTCAAATATAGAGAAAAGGCTGGCACTGACAGTCACAAGGAGGCAGGGATATGGGCTGAGAGTATGGGGAGGAAGACAAGAACCCAGGGTTGGGTGGCAGATGTTGGCATCTTCTTCTAAAGTGTCATCTCACTCTCTTAATGTCCTTTGTCTTGAAGGCTCAGCTCTCACTTATCAACATATTTACACTTGATGTGTCTCTCTGACTCCATTTCTACTTGCCCCAGATAGCTATTTCCCCTTTAGCTGGCTACAAAGTGAAATTAAAATGGAAAAGGGTATGTGTGTTGTGTGTGTGCAAATATGTGCAAATATGGGTGTTCCATATTAATATTCTATTTTAAAGCAATTTTTCTAGTTCTCATTAAAAAACGATGGAGGGGGACAACTAAGTTATTGTTTTTCTTATATGAGACTGTTGCATTCTTTTGCTTTTCTGGGCTAAATGGAAGTGGTATTTTACTTTTAAATACAGACTTATTTTTCTTAAAGTAGTATACAATCAGAACACTATATGATTGGTGATTTTACCATTTTTTGACTTTTTAGACTTTCAGATGTAAAGATGACAATGACTCCAAAGGCAAAATATTTTTAAAATGGCATTGTCCTAATGATTCTTTTCAAAGGAAAAGAAATACTGGGTAACAGATATGCCACCATAGTGTATATGCAATATTGCAATGTCCAAGAACTGTTCTATTGGGTCAAGGCAGAAGCATGTATACAGTCAAAAGTTAACTAATCCCCTCCCCTATTCCACAGTCGGGTATAATACTTTTTTGGACACTAAGTAAGCACATTACTGGCATTTCTTCTGCCCTAAACATCACCTCCAGAATCACTGCTTAATCCTCAATCCCCAATCCCTCATTACCTGACTTCTCATAGTGAAAAGCTACTGAAAACAAAAGATGTGTACGTCCTTTGTAGGGACATGGATGAACCTGGAAACCATCATTCTCAGCAAACTGACACAAGAGCAGAAAATCAAACACCGTATATTCTCACTCATAGGCGGGTGTTGAACAATGAGAACACATGGACACAGGGAGGGGAGCACTACACACTGGGGTCCATTAGGGGGAAATGGGGGAGGGACAGGGGGTGGGGAGGTGGGAAGAGATAGCATGGGGAGAAATGACAGATACAGGTGAGGGGAAGAAAGGCAGCAAACCACACTGCCATGTGTGTACCTATGCAACAATCTTGCACGTTCATCACATGTACCCCAAAACCTAAAATGCAATTAAAAAAAAATTAAAATTAAAAAAAAAAGAATTTCAATTTAAAATAAATTTCTGCTAATTAAAAAAAAATACAAATTCATTATGAAATATATTATAAATATAGAAAAAGAGAATATACCTACCAAGGTCTCTTATAGAAGCTGCAGTTAGCATGGGATCTGAACTCACAAGGATAGCTGAAAATAATAACCTTGGAGTGGGCTCCAAAAATAATTTATTTACAGATGCCAGATACCAAAGAACTAGGATATAATTAACCAAAAAGCCAGGAACTGTAATTAAAAGTACCTGCAAAGAAATTTTACAATTAGAAAAATCAGACTGCTTTTGTAGTCCATTTTAAGAAAAAGATACTCAGGATTATTGGAGACAGAGAATTAGCCAGCACCAACAGTACCCACCAGCAGACACAGGAGTGAGACCATCTAGCTCATTCTGTGTCAGCTGACTTCCACTTGACCAAAGATGCAGCAGATGGCTTGGCAGAGCTTAGCTGAGGCAACCCAAACCACTTTTAAGTCTATTCTTTGTGATTCCTTCATTTTGTCATTTGTCTGAACTCCATGTGTCTGGATTTGGTTTAAAAGTATGAATTTTTCTAATAAATTATTTGCTTCTAATGCAGTTTAGGTAATGGCCTGTATTTACAAAACTATTTTGATTACTTTGAAAGAAATGTACACCTACTTATGATTTGGAGTATTTTTTCTTAAGGCCTTTCCCTGATATAGTTCAAATCTCACATATTAAAAAATTTGTTATAGTTTTTGAATTAGAGTTTAGCTGCTTCTCTGTTTTCTTCTCTTTTATTCTCTTAGATATGAATGTAGGAAGCTTTCAAACATAGGTATTTGAAACAAGACTTTTCTTAACAATTTCCTCTTACTGGAGCTAAAACACTTTCTCATAGCACTCCTGTAGCATTTCAGGGTTAAAATTACATCTGGTATGAAATTATGTGAGTCAGATTTTCAGAATTACTGTTTTCTTTCATTTTCCCCCTGGGTCTCTGATATGCTAGATAATTTTCAAAATATGATTTATTCACTAAATTATGAAGCTGAATTTATTAATTCTATACCCTTTATCCTTTGTTTCCTATTTTGGAAAAAAAATTTAATTTGAACATAGATAATATGTGGTTCATGAATGAATGACATTACCAAAAAAGAATGCTTACCTGCCAAAGTAACTTTTGAAATGTGTATATATCCATGTTAAATGCAGCAGTAAAGAAAATTACTGGTACAAATAGACGAAAAAATAAGTCTGGACTCATCCATTGTATGTCTTTTGCATATCTTTGGACCTAATATTATACAAATATATCATCTTTATTTATTCATCTATTAGAATAGATACATGCTAGGCACTCCTAAATCTAACAGCAGAAAAAGACAATTTTTAAATGATGCATCACACAAAGGAGTAAGTGATATCAAATTCTAGAAACTACAAATGATTGGCCATGTATTATACAGAAGACGTGGCAGAATAGAAGGGATAGACTGGAAAGTTAATGCAATTCATGCAATAACTAATTAACAATGTTTAACATGAGATATTTAGTTGAAATGCGTAAATCCTATTGCAGGTATCCATTGAACATTCATTTATTATGGAAACAATGAGTACCTACTGTGTTAGTGATAGTTTGCATTTGGGAGATAATTCTCCATGTGTCTCTTGTGTTTCTCCATGGTTTATGAATGCAGGCATTGTTTTTCTTCCAGACTATCTTTTCATGAATGTTGGTATGGCTTAGAAGGCAGAGCAAGTGTCTTCCTCAAGAGAAAAGGGCAGGTTTACTTTACTGTCCAGTGGAATACAGATAATATCTCCCTTGGAGACATTTATTTTATTTAAAGAACAGGTATAGTAAGTACACGGACATGGGGGAGAATATGCAGCAGATTTTCAGGCATATAAGATGAAGAAAGAGATTTCAAGTAGGTGGATAATCATGCACAACATTCACAAAGGAATAAGTGATTGTATCAAATTGTAAAAACTACAAATAATTGGCAATGGCTTATATAGAAGATGTGCGTGGAAGAACAGACAAGAATGCAAATGAGCTTACTACCCATTATAGAGGATTCAGGTTCTCTAAGCTTAGATTTCTTCTCCTGTAGTTGGATACATAACCCACTGAAGGTGCAGATTTCACCTAGCCCTCTTTGCTTCTCTCTTTGGGATCAGGGTTCAGGAAACAGGCACAAAAAAAATGCTCATACTCTGGTTACTGCTATTGCTGCGGATAATAAAACCTTTTTCCTCTGGTCCAAGAGTCCCGTATCTTTTGCTGGGATCATGAAACTGGCAGGCTAGCTTATTAGCTGGCAAGCAGAGAAAAATCCTAGAAACTTCATGGGTCTTAACATTGGTATCTTCCTTTGAAGGAGTTGCTGACAAATAATAAAACTTACAGCAGTACCTCAAATTGCATTTGTGTCAAAATCATATGATGATAAAATCTGTTTATGACATGTAAAGTAGTAAACTGCTTCTGGTTCTTACATGAATACAGGTTTTGGATAAAAATTTTTAACATGATCGGCTAAATTTGGTTGGGAAAATCAATAATTTCAGACAAGTTCTCACATCCATTCTGATCCACTAGGGCAGACATTGGCAAATTATGGTCCCTGGGCCAAATCTGCACACTTAGATTAGTTTCTCTTCTAACAGGAACCTATAAGACAGTCTTAATTGAGGAAATAGATTAGTTCAATATTATAATTCTTTTGCTACTCAAGTCCTGTACCAGCAATACAAAGTCTCCCTGAGCTACTATGTCATTAGCCTATTTTTTCCAAGTTTTAAAAATCTGTTTAACATTCATTGGCTACTAATACTTTCAGTAGCTGTGTGTGTACTCATTCTGAATTGGCTATGTCGTTTTAGACCTAGGCTTTGTCTTCACTATGTTTAACTGGGTCTCAGCTTTCACAGGCCTGGCTCCTTTTTCTACATCTGATCTAATGCTATCCACATCACAATCATCTATCCACTGGCAGAATAGTGAAGGAATGAATAGTTTTGCAAATTTTAAATGGCATCCCTGAATTTATATAATTCTCAAATAAATAGTGTAAAATACTCATTTACAATACACACCTCATAAGATGTAAAGCTTAGTACTTCAAAACTGCATCCAAGTAAAAATAATATCACAGACAGAGGAATTGGAAAATCTTTCAAGTGCAGGTTCAAAAATGCTGTAAAAAATATGTTGTTACTGAAGGCAACAAAATATCTCATTTATAGAACTTTAATGTGATATGATTTCTTAAAATTGAGAACAATGACCTATTGTTTCACTACTTATTTTCTCTTTCCATGAGTTTTAAAATCCTTCCTCACACTTATTAGCACACAGAATCAGTGTAATTGTTAATCTACTGGGTTGCTGTCTTACCTCTCCTATGATGTATCTCATTCTCACCTCCTTAGAAACTTAATAAACATTGCTAGCAGTTATTGGCTCTTGGGTTGCTACTGAAATTCTTTTTTTTTTGAGACGGAGTTTCCCTCTTGTTACCCAGACTGGAGTGCAATGGTGCCATCTCGGCTCACCGTAACCTCCGCCTCCCGGGTTCAGGCAATTCTCCTGCCTCAGCCTCCTGAGTAGCTGGGATTACAGGCACACACCACCATGCCCAGCTAATTTTTTGTATTTTTAGTAGAGACGGGGTTTCACCATGTTGACCAGGATGGTCTCGATCTCTTGACCTCGTGATCCACCCTCCTTGGCCTCCCAAAGTGCTGGGATTACAGGCTTAAGCCACCGCGCCCAGCCTACTACTGAAATATTTATAGCAGTTTTGTACACATTATAAATCAGAGATTAGTTTCTTTAGCAATCTTACAATAAAAGGTTAATAAATAAACTTTAATGAAATCTTCTGGTTCAGGAACAATGAGAAACTAGCTCAATTAAAAAAAAAAGTAGTAGGATGGTGGGTTTTGCTGCAACTGGTTTATTTTCCTCCTGTTTTCACCTATTCTGGCACAGTCTAGCACCACTGTCCTTGTTGTGACGCCGAGCCTAAAAATGCAAAGCAGAGAGGCAGGACCAAAACTGAGGTGAATCCGGGAGCCTGCCAATGGGTCTCCAGGTGCCATCTCTGAAACTGGAGGATATCAGGAGGAAGGGCTCTTCCATGTGGAGATAATGGAGCAGCTCTTTGCATGGTTGGCTGTAGGTATGTGATACCAGAGGAGTGGGAGTCAAATAGGATATGCTGACTTTTAATTCAAGCTACTCATTTCTGAAACACTTTGCCACAATGAAGGAAATAAGGAATTGTACTCTCAGAGATGTTGGGAAAAGATACATGGATCTTGGAAGATAATTACTCACAATATGCAGGGAAGGAATTAAATTGAAGGGCATTTTTCTTAGAGAATATCATTTGGCATACTTATTTGATCAAGAAGTTCAAGATTTGTATAATAAGGATCTAGTTTGAAGCACTAAGAAGAGTAAGTCACCAGTCTGAAAAGAGGCTCTCAGAGCAACATGAATTCTGCTAAAATGGAAGCAAGAAAAAATATCAAATTTATGTTGATGCTGAGGTGGAAGAATGGTGAAATAATTGATGCTTTATGAAAAGTTTATGGGGACAATGCTCCAAGAAATCAGTTTGCAAATGGATAACTTGTTTTAAGAAGGGATAAGGTAATGTTGAATAAGAAGCCCACAGTGGCAGATCATCCACATCAGTTTGTGAGAAAAAAATTAATTTAGTCCATGGCCTAACATGAAGAAAACCAAAAATTAACAGCAGAAATGACAGCAAACACCATAGACATCTCAGTTGGTTCACCTTACACAATCCGACCGGAAAAGTTCAGCAAACTTTACACCTGATAGGTACCAAAACCATTGCACCCAGATTAGCTACAGACAAGAGCTGAGCTTTCAATGGAAATGTTAAATAAGTGGGATCATGATCTTGAAGCACTTGATCGAAAAAACTGTAACAGGAGATGAAACATGGCTTTTTCAGTGCAATCCTGAAGATGATGATGCACAATTAAAGCAACAGTTACCAAGATACAGAAGCAGTTCAGTCAAAGCACAAGTGGACTAGTTGAGAGCAGAAGCCACGACAACAGCTTTTGGATGCTCAAAGCATTTTCCTTGTTGACTTTCTGTAGGGACAGAGAATGGTAATATCTGCTTATTATGAGAATGTTTTGAAAATCTTAGCCAAAGCTTTAGCTGAACAATGCCTGAGACAGCTTCACAAGAGAATTATTTACCACAACCATGTTCCTGCTCATCCCTCTCAACAAAATAGGGCAATTTTGCAAGAGTTTTGATGGAAATCACTAGGCAACCAACCTACAGTCCTAGTTTGGTACTTTCTGACTTTTTGTTTCCTAATCTAAAAAAAAAAAAAATTAAAGCAGTACATTTTTATTCAGTTAACAATGCTAAAACAAACAAACAAACAAACAAAAAAACTGCATTGCCATGGTTAAATGCCCAGAACTCTCTGTTCTGTAGGGATGGAGAGCTGGTATCATCACTTACAAAAGTGTCTCGAACTTGATAAAGCTACTGTTCAGAAATATAGTTTATATTTTTATCTTTTAATTCCATTTCCCACAAACTTTTTGAAGTCTCCTTGAATATGCACCCTTTATAGAGGGGAAAAATTTGTGTGACTATTCATGTTAACTTAAATTAATGCTGACCTAATCTTTTATTTTATAAATACAAACAAACATAAAAGCTGATAGAAATTTTGTTTATAGCCCTTACCAAACAAATTTGTGAAATAAATGCATTAGGAAATAAACTAAAACAACCTTAGTGGAATAGATGCTACCATTTTACTGAGGTGTAAACATTGTTCTGGCTGCTACGGAAAAAGTTACATAAACAGTCATGTGCCTTGTGATGATTGTTTTGTCTACAACTTTACTCTTTGTAGACCTCAATACTACTGAAATGAGGAGAGGAGATCTAAATTCCCAAAAGAGTGTCAATTGGGCATGGAGGCTCATGCCTGTGATCCTTGCACTTTGAGTGGCCAAAGCAGAAGGATCCCTTGAGGGCAGGAGTTCCAGACCAGTCTGGGTAACAAAATGAGATCCTGTCTCTACAAAAAATAAAATAATTAACTGGGCATGGTGATGTGTGCTTGTGGCCCTAGCTTCTTGGGAGGCTGAGGTGGGAGGATCACATGCACCCCAGATATTGAAGCTGCAGTGAGCTGTGATCATTGCCACCACACTTACAGCCTGAGCAACAGAGCAAAATCCTGTCTCTAAAAAAAACTAGAATGTCTTTGTGCTATGCAAATCCTAATTTGAAGAATTCTGCATGAAATTCTCTCCAAACATTATTCTAACCCCAGTGAGAAGTACAGTTTTTGTTTGATTCAGGATTAGGCTTAGATAGTAGTTAGCGAAATTGTATTAAAAGTTAACTGTTTTGTGAACTAATAAGGAGTTTTTTTCTTTTTTAAAAATAGGCAGTCCTTGCTTTGCACAGTTCCAATATACATAAATATCAGTTACCACAGTTAAGTTAAATAAAATCAGTCCAACAATGTGGTTAATATTTCATTACCACATTACTGAAAAAAAAACTTGCATGAATTTTGCTGCTAGGTCTTTAGTTGGCAAATTATTGGGCAATTAAAAAAAAAAAAAGATAATGAGATCCAAGATGGCCGAATAGGAGCAGCTCTGGATTACAGCTCCCAATGAGAGTGCAGAGGGTAAGGGACATTGCATTTTTTATTGCCCACAGACCAGGAAATTCCCAGGCAGAGGAGCCCTATGGGTCACCAGTGCAGCCGTTGTGGCCTGCGTGGCGGGTCTCCACACAAAATAGATGGGTCTGGGCATCATTTTAGCGGGCAATTGGAGCACCTGGGAGACAGAATCTCCCGTTCAACCGGAAAAAAAAGGAGACTGAAACAGGGAGCCAGGCAAGGAGATTCCTGGGCAAAAAAGCACCATGAGCCACCAGTGTGGCTGTTTCAGCTGGCGCAGCGAGTCTCACACAAATCTGGGTGCCTTTTCAAATGGGGACTGGAATGCCTGGGAGACAGAATTGCCCATTCAACTGAATAAAATGGGATTGAAACAGGGAGTGAGGCCAGGAGATTCACGGGCAAAAAAGCACGACGTGTCTCCAGCAGCTGTTTCAGCTGGTGCAGTGGGTCTACGCACAAGAAATCACACATATATGGGTGCCATTTAAACTGGTGACTGGGAAGCCTCAGAGACAGAGTCACTCATTCAACTGAAGGAAAAAAAAAAAGGCAGGAGGGGCTCTGAGGCAGGGAGTCAGGTGATCAAGCTCGGCCAGTCCCAACCTGACAAAAAACAGCAATCTGAAATGCTCTGGATTGAGAGTTTCACAGCAAGCACAGCTGAACCTGGGATGGTCTGGCTATGTGGGAGGGGAGTCTGCCTTACAGAGGCAGTCCACCACTACCAAGGAAGTCTGCCCTTCCTGAGGCAGCCCACCATTGCCAAGGCAGTCCACCATTACAGAGAAAGTCTGCCATTACAGAGGTGGGCCACCAATGCCAAAGCAGTTATAACTATACCCCTATAAACAGGACTACAGGGAAGTTCATGTGGCACCTGGGTGGAGCCCACAGCAGGTCAGCAAAGCCTCTGCTGGCACACTGTGACTAGGCTACCTCCTCACTGGGCAGGGCAGCCCTGAAAAAAGGCAACAGCACAACAGAAACTTATAAATAAAGCCCTACCTCCCTGGAACAGAGCACCTGGCAGGGGGAAAAAAGGCATGTATGAGTTCTGCTGCAGCAGACTTAAACGTACCTGCCCAGCAGCTCTGAATGGAACAACGGACCTCACAGCTCAGCACCTGAGCTCCTATAAAGGACAGACTGTCTCCTCAAGCAGCTCCCTGACCCCCATATATCCAAAAAGTTACCTCATAAAGGAGAGCTCAGACTGACATCTGGCTGGTATCCTTCTGGGACAAAGATAGCAGAAGAAGAAACTGGCAGCAACCCTTACTGTTCTGTAGCCACTGCAGGATACCCAGGCAAGCAGGGCCTGGAGTGGACCTCAGCAGTCCTACAGCAGAGGGGCCTGACTATTAGAAGGAAAACTAAGAAACAGAAAGAAATAACTTGATCATCAACAAACTGGACATCCACTCAGAGACCCTATCTGAAAGTCAACAACTTCAAAGAACACAGGTAGATAAATCCACAAA